TAGATATCTGTTCCTCTCTCCTCAGAAGATGTCTGAAGGGTATATTGATAGTTGAAGCCCGGAGCATTAGTTTGCCTTCATTAGAATATTTTAACACAACTGTATTTTAAATCCGCACAAATATCCTTAATATCTTCACATGAACTTTCATTCTCTTTATATAACAGATATAACAGATATATAACAAATTTCAATTGTGCTCATCTATCTTAAATATTTTTTTATTTTATATTTCTCCCTGGAATAGAACTTTACTGTTCATTTTTCGCTTTTTTCCGGAAAACATTTTTCAAATGACTTTCTTTTTGGGTGTGATTTCAACAAACTGAAAGATCAAACTTGAATACAAAATTCATATATTTTATATCCTTCAGAGTATGATTCTTAAAAGTGCACTTAATGAAATAAGCCAGTCCGTAATTCTACTAAAGCTTTAATATCTTTTTATCGGCTAGACGTTTTTTGTCATGACTACATACTCGTACACCAAGATTATTGTAGGTTTTTCGGTCTGATATATTCCACCTGTCTACATCAACAGACGGTCCTCAATTACAGGTCATTATAAAGATGGAAAACAGTGATTGAGAAAGAAGCGAGGCAAGAGATGTGTTTATATTTTACTTACAAAAGGGTTTTCATATTTCCAAGGGAAAATACAGCAGAAGTACGACCAAAGAAATGGATTTTGCGTTCAGTTGATTTTCCCACTCAAAAGTTAAAATAAATAAATTGCATCACAATGCTGTGAATGTTATAAATCTTATACATTTCTAGTTGCAAATCGAGTTTATGCACCCAATATTTGACATCATATATTGTTTTTAAAATGCATTTAAGCAATAAAAAATAAAAAACGAGTTATCAGAAAATATTTCAGTTGTTCGTACAAAAAAAAAAAAAAAAAAAAAAAAAAAAAAAAAAAAAAAAACAAAAAAAAAAACAAAGAAATACAAATATACAAATATTTCAAGGAAAGATAATAATAATCATCTAAAGGGGATATATTATGAAATGTTTCAAGGTTAATTCAATATTTAGGTCAAAACTTTCTATGTGTTGCAAGAAAGCATATAAGAAATATTTTTAGGCTATCTGAGACACTTAGTTGACCTATTGGTCGTCGTTAATTGTCCGTTCCCCGTTAAGAATTGAATATTTTAAATTTCTTCTTAAATAGCACTTGACCAATTCTCTTCAAATTTTATATTAGACACGGTAGTTATAACATGAACATAAATTGTTATTTTCATAATCATAGTATACCTGGGACCCCAGACAATTGGAAAAACTGATAAACAATAGCCACATATTCAAAAATCTCTCCTACATGTACATTATATTTTTGAAAAATTTTCTTCCTTATTAATAGACATCTTGTAAGCAAACTATTTACATGATTATAATAATCGCTTAGCATTCTACAAGAATCGTGAAATTCATGACCCCTAAGCACACATTGGTTTAAGCTCTAGGGTGGGGTTTAGTTGGTCATATATTGAAAAAGTATAACACATTAGAATTTTTTCTTCATTCTCATAGACAGCATGAAGGTAAATTTTTGACATGAAGCAACTAGCCTTCTCAAAAATTAAAATTAATATCCTACAGGTTCAGGAGTTAATCTAGAGTTGCAGTTTTGGGACGGAGACAAAGTAGTCAAAGTCTTCATGGCAGATTTATTATTATATTATATTATATTATATTATATTATATTATATTATATTATATTATATTATATTATATTTTATTATATACGAGTATATTATATTATATTATGTTATGAAATACTATAATGTATTAAATCATAATTCAAAGTTTGTCTTTTAAGCTGAGATTCAACACTGTAGAAACAATGCTGCGTTATATTGACTTCGAAAAGATTGATCGCTTAAAAAAAATAAAAAATAAATAAATAAAAATAAATAAATAATAATAATAATAAAAATAATGCGGTTAGTTATGACTTTGTACATTTAATCATTGAATCATCTAATAAACCAATTGTTACTGTTTTTGTCAGTAACCTGCTACTGACAAGTAATATAGAGATAACAAACAGAAATCAAGCTCAAAAGTGAAATACGTGGAGAAAACGAACAGTTTTCGAGCTCAAAAGTCCATTAACGTTACAAAATAGGAGCAGAGCAAACACGAGCCTCTAAAACATCAGATGCTGGATCAGGGCCATGGAGGAGTAAGCATCTCCTGCCGACCGGTCACACCCGCCGTGTGCTCCTTGTCATGATCGGGAGATAACGGAAATTCCGTCGACAAATCAGTGTGTAAATAATAGCCTAACAATGAGTATGAAAAAAGTCAGTCAGCATTTGACTTAATGAAAGATTGTATTTGTTGACAAGCTTAAGGTCATTGTATCGACCATAGAACTTAAGAAATGATGACTCTAAACGAGACAGCTGATATTCTTGTTTCATCAACTTGTTTGTCAATAACTTACCTCGTTTTAGAAATTGTTAAAACGTAGAGCATGCTCTTGCGTATCGAATCAACTGATAGATATAAACCCCGTTTGCAGGTGATAAGGGTATATTGCTGCATAAGTAAGGGAAGTTGACGATTGAAAAGTTAAAGTCATCATGTTTATCATAAAGCTTTGATCTTAGATTACCATTAAAGTCTTTCTCTAATAAAATATCCAAATATGAAACAGATGTGTCAGACTCTGTGGTATCTTATATCTCAAGCTCACCGGGATATACCGTGTCGACATAAGAATGGAAATAACCATTGTTAATTGACAATACGTCGTCGATATATCTAAATGTCCAGATGAAGGCCACAGCAAGTGTTTTCTTCTTTTCACGTAAAAGATTTTGAACAAATTCTGCTTCATATGAATACAAAAATAGGTCTGCTAATACCGGGGCGCAATCGGTACCCATGGAAATTCCAATAGATTGTTGGAAGACCTGATCTCCAATGTCAACTTCAGAGTACTTGTGCATACAATCAGAATGTTTTTAAACAAAGAAATTTTCAAATGACCAATGACAACGTATGTAAAATTACGAGTTCCATTTTTATTGAAAAAGCAGCTATCAACGATATCAGTCTGGACTTTAATTTAAAGTGGGGAATAGTTGTATATAAAGTTGAAAAGTGGTAAGTTTTTATGTTGTTGATTTTGGTAAAATTTTTTGATTTCAAATGTTCCAAAATTTCCTTGAAATTTTTAAGCATCCACATCTTATTTACACTAGTTCTCGAATATATTGTTGCACAGTACTATTGAAGTTTCTCCTTCACTACTGTTAATATCTTAGCGAGGAGTAAAGAAAGAGGCTTGGTAAAACACTTACTGGAACCTGCTATGCATCTTTGTTTTTAAGGATTTTTATGAAGTTTCGGAATCCAATACAGATATGGTAAATCAAATTCATTTTGGTTGTTGGGAATATTAAAAATATTCAAAACTGACATATAATGTTGAAGAATTTCCTCCTTAGAAAGGGAGCTATGAGTATAAGTTGGATTACCACTTGTAGAATTAAGTCCCAGTTCCTCTAAAATACAATTTATATAATGAGCCTTACAAACAAAAACAATGTTGTTACCTGCTTTGTCAGCAGGGACCAGTACGTACTGACCGTGTAATCAATCTAATTTTTTCACTTCTGAATTATTGAATACAGAAGGATAGATGTTTTTTTTTCATACTGCCCCTCAATCGTTTAATGCGAGATTTTAACATATATCTGATTCATTTAATCCATTCTGACAAAGTGTCAAAGTCTTCTTTTTTATGTATGACCCAACGCCTGGCGTAACCCTCTACAGAAACCATAATATGTATGAAATTACTACGCCAGTTGAAGGATCGGGGTTCCTTGTATTTAGGACCTTTTAAAATTAGTGATCTAAGGTCCTCATTATTAACTATATTTACGTCACCAGTAATAACGTGCCCAGCAGGACTATAGTTATAGGATGAAGAAGAACATGAACACGAAGGAGGATTATGCTTCAGATATTCGATATCCAAGTCCATTGAAACAATACAAATTGGGAGCAGAGTAATAAAAGACCTCTAAAACATCAAAGCTAGGGTCAGGTGCCATGGAGGAGTAAGCATCCCCTGCCTGACTATCTATATCATAATGTATCTTATGGTATTATATTTCATTTTATTACATCATCAATAATTAATTGCTGTAATTTAATCATCGAGTAAAACTGACATTTTAACAGAGGTGTTAATTTCACACTGAAAATATAAAATCTGTGGGAAATCTTTCCTTCCGTTCACAAAGAGTGCTATAGAAAATATCCCTGTAGATGGCGAGAGTGAATAAGTAATCCTAACATTGACGAAAATATGAAACATTTTCCCAAAATTGTTATTTAAGTCCATGTTTATAAGTTTCAGCCTTACAACCACTCAGCTATGACGTCACAGCCTACGCCACTACGGAATGCATGGACTAAAGAATATATTAGACAGAAAATTCAGTCTTTTGTAGCTATATTTGTAATTTATTTCACTCGTGGGGCATGACTTTTTAAAAACATTCGTGTATCGCAATCGTGAATTTATTTAAGCCTATCCTACTCATCAATTAAACTCCACACATAAATAATTGAATACTATATTATAGTGATTATATTAATAATAATATACAGTTTGTATATTATATTATATTTATTATAGATCATTGATGTTTTCTTTATCGTACCAATATTGATATGTGTACTCAAAAATAGAGAATTTGATAGTAATGAGGGCCTCAACGTATAATTTTTTTTTAAATTGTCCGATCCAATTATATTAAACTGTCTAAATGCTCAATGTAATAAAATACATGTTCTGAAAATCTATTTTGATGTGTCTTGAAAAATGAAAATGAGGACGATAGTTCAAATACACCTTTATAAAGGAGGGGCTAGATTCCTATATACAATCCCCATAATTACATTGTACAGCTGCAATGACGAATGGAAGTCTATTTCTTATCACTCAGAATTATATAAAAGATACATAACTAGGCATACACACACTACCACTTTAATATTCGAAATCAGAAGTGCATTTTGAAACTAACAATAAAATATACAGCAATCTTGACGGTGATTGTTAACTTGACGGGTCAATTATTTTCTGACGGACGGCAAAATACCTTAGGTATGAGCAAAAGGTACAATCAATTTGTTGAATGCTCAACATTACAACGCCGTGCTATCTGGTAGGTTTCGAGTTACGGGGTGTGATATTTACACCAGAGAACCGGGCTGGGGTATTTAAAACCCGTGGAGTCGATGGTGCAAAGTATATATATGGAGCATATCTGCACAAACGGTAAGGTTAAGATTTTTAAATGAATTGCTATTAATTTGTATTTCTTACCTTTTTTATCTCCATTCAAAGGAAAGTATAGTGAATATTCAAATGTTACGTAAAGTCTTACATCTATCCCGTATCTAATACTTGTTGAATATTCATATAATTTATATAAAATCGCCGTTGTTATAATTAACATTGCACAGTTCTTAAAAAAAAAAAATAAGTTTAATGAATGAAGTGTTTGAAAGATTAGATTATAACAAACTAAATATATACATTTTTTTCTATTGATACATTATTTAACTTGACATACGATACACATTAAACCAGAGGAAAAAAAAAACCCCATAAAAACAGAGCATACATGCATATTGTTTCAATACGTATCTATGTAAAAACGATGCTCTATAAAAAAACCCATTGTTTTGATAACCTGCTTTAGGAGATAACAGAACATCTTCGATAGTATTGTCTAGACTTAATGGCCACCGACGGTACCAGCGGATGCATTCTTTGAAATAATAGATACTGCTTACTCCCATAATTAAAAGATAACATTGAATAGATATTAATCAAAGGTACAACAGATGGGTAACATGATATCATCTGTACGGGGACACGACAAGCGGTTCCTTTATACAATTGCTAATGAAGTGCATGCCTTTTAAAAAGGCTTTTAAATAGAGAATATAACGTTTGATTCATTGATAATCAAGCAATAAGCAGATTTCCGTGTCCTTTAAGGAGGAAATATGCAATGGTAAATCTCTCTCTCTGAATATATCATCTATTCGTATTAAAATTCCCGGGAATAAATACTTTTTCTGTGATCTCGGAACACTTACATTTCATAACATTGGAAAATTACTTAATTTAATTAAAACATCATTTATTAAGATCTGAAATTCAGTGGGAAGTTACAAGTTTCTGGCAAAAGACATAAATTTTCCAGCTGCACCGTGTCAATTTTCAATTACGTAACTGATGGGCTCTTGTTTATTGAATTATACACACTTTTAAAAACAGTATCTAAAATCCCAACCTACATTAAATGCACAAAGAAAAATCTTAAGCTTGAAGCTATCACTGACATTCTAAGTAAACATAGCTTGGCAATGTTTATTTTTAGGTGTCAGACGTAAGGGGAAAATTGTAATGTAGTAGAAATTTATGAGTAAATTCAGCAATATAAATCACTTTGAAATACATCTTATATTCTGTTTAAATGTCATATACAATGCGTGATAAAAGCAAGGGTAAATCAAATTGCAACTTTATATGCCCAGTTATACCTTTGTAAAGAAAATATGTCTACCAGGTAGTCAGTATCCTTATTTTCTGAAAAAAAAAACTAGGTACGATACAAGACTATGTCGTAGCAAATTGAATTCACGGAATTTAGATTTGTACAATAAAACTAAATTCAGTGGATGTACGAATTCTGAGTAGATAATAGTTCTGTCATAATCACTTTTTGTCAAACCAGTATTTAATTTTACATATCTGATTTCGATGATTTTTGTATTTGATCTATAATTAGAAGCTTTAAACAGTATGCATACACCAGAAAAGCCATTTAATCACTTTTATATGTATAGCCCCATAAATGTTGTATTTTCATTCAGCTTCTGTTTGTTGTCGCTGATATCTTGCGTACAACATTGAGTTTTATCTGTTATCGTATTTTCTTTACGTAATGCATGGGGCTTTTATGTAGGTTTACAGAAATGAAATAAAATACTTGATTGTTAACAGAGTATTTGACATAAACATGATATCATGATGAGGACTACTCAAGACCGGCATAATGTTTTATCCAACTAATGAATTACAATAGCAGTAACTTATATGTGATTCATTAAAAAAAGTTTAATTAAGCTTTATCTTAGGTACATGTATTGTGATAAATAAGTGTGAGTGAAGGCATATAAGTACATGTTCATTTGTTGATCATTTTTTAACATAACACAAACTTCTCAATGCACCCAAAGACATATAGTGGGTATTTTTCGCCCTTTTCTTGTCTATGTTGCTTTATTAATTCTAATAGCGTATTGCACACGTATAATTTATTGCTCAAGAAACATGGTTTCTCAAATCGTCACTATACATGTACATTTGTATTTTAATAAATGAAGTCCGTATTACCAGAATAGGAACACAATGTTTTACTTTAAAGCATTATTCCAGAAAAAATTGGCAGGCAGAAAGACTTATGTTTTATGTTTGGTGCACTGTTGGATAAGTTTTAACTCCTTCACCTTTTTAAAAGCTATATCCCCGATTAACAAAGACATTAACTATAACATTGGCTTGCTGCTAAACGTATGCATGATGCAGGACAGATTAAAAGTTATATTTGGCTAACTTAAGAATAAGAATAAAAACTTTCGCCTTTTTCTGTAATTTCTCTGTAAGGCTGTAATTTTCTGTGATATTTGATATTCTTGGGCCATTAAGAACTATTTCGGTATATGTGGGAGGTTTGGTGATTCAGTCGTATGCTTACATCTGATTGCAAAGCACCGGAAGAAAGACAAATTAAGCATAAACTAACACACTGACACTTCTACCCTGATAGCATCATTTTTTTTTGTTAATGACTGCTTTATTCAAATAGCAATAACATATGGAATTGGATTGTCAAATCATATTCAGTTAATGCGTGCAACTAAACAGGATATACTTAACATCCAGAGGTTAAATGGTGGAAACCGCAATTTTATACCCACAATTTATTAATAAGAATAAATATTTGGTGGAATTTAGTGCAATTTTTATCGATATTTTAGGGTTCCTCAAGCCGACGTACCCTGGTAGTAATAAATTCCACAAAATTATTATTTTGCAGTAGCAGCTGTCAATTAAATTATAATGATTTTACTAAAAACAATATCAAATCAAGTAACTTTTGCTTGTTCGTTCATTTGATTTTTTTTCACTTTATCTTATTCTCAATATTATGAATAAATATATTCAAATTAAAATCATCTAAAAAAAAACTCAACCACCATCTATAATATGTTGCAGTTATAAAGTCCAACAATTTAAACTTGGTTTTATTGCTTTATGTTTTTGTAGTGCAATGTCTTTTTTTAAAGAAATGGGTTTTTTTCCCAGGGAAGAATTTATATCGTTTAAATATCCGACATAATAATTTTTATAGGTGATAATCAAACTGATTTTTGGAAAAAAGCAAAATTAAATGCATTTGCTATTGCAAAAGAAAGAAAAGGAGTTAAAAAGACAAAATAAGCGATTTATACACCATGCACTTCTGATAAAAAAAAAAAAATAAATAAAAAGTAAAAAAAAAAGTTTTGTAAGTCATTTGTATTTAAAACCCCCCTTTTGAATTTGCAGAATAAAACACGTGTCAATCAATATCATAAACAAAGGAAAGACAGAATTTTTCTGCAATTTCAGATAACAAAAGATTTTTTTATTTCCTCTCTCGAAGATATTTTGCACCGGTTAACATAGAATTAAACACAGCTTTAGTTATATTCAAATTTCAATCAACAAAGACGTCAATGTTTCTTTTCTCTGACTGAAGCCTTTTCGTAGACGTAAAATTTCTCACACAGAGCAAATCTTATTCATCGTTCTTGGCTGGAAGCCTGACTTCCTAGGAAGTGTTCTTTTTCACTGTTTGAAATTTACAAATGTATCCTGTTGATCCTTGGCTATACGCTGTCTGAATATATTCTTTGTAATTTAATATTGTTTAATGCAGTGCGATAATTGAATAAGAGATCGTGCATGTAATGCAATTTGTTAGCATTTGAGTTAATTTATCTTTCTTCGAGATCAATCATTTTTGGTCTTTCTTTTTTTTGAAGTCGTGATACTTTGATTAAAAACTTCGAAATTCGAATCACCTTTCACCGTTGAGTTTAAAAATATCATATTACTCCTCTCCTACAGACATAATTTATTACTAAAAAGAAAGAAAAGAGATCAATCAGTAGAACACCTTGTTTCCATATTTTTAAAAAAAGGACAATCTAATTTTGATTAACAAAAACAAAAAAAAAAGTTATTAAGTCAGACTAGTCATAAATGCTCCAAACATATTTAAGTAAAACAAATCCCTCGATATAAGCAGTATAGAGTGATCATGGCAATGCATGAGTACATTCAACTACATTTTAAAAACAGTTTAATGGACTTAATTGATCTGAAGAAAATAAAGAACCCTCCGAACTCTGGTTATCCATTGACAACGTAACATTCAACCTACCTATCTATGTAAATGTAGTTTATTTATTCATATTCATCTTTAGATGCCTTTTTTCCCATCCAACAATAGGAAAGAAACGCAATCCTATAGATTAGGTACATATACAAAAAACAACTCTTTAAGATTTTTCTTAAAAAGATTTTTTTGAATTACGTTTAACAATTCTATAAATACCCATCGATTTTATTCAATTACCTTTTAAAATCATTAAAATTGATTTTTTATAAAACTTATTAAGACTTTGTACGTATGTACAGCTAGAGGAAAAAACGATGATAAGACTACAGTTTATCTCCCCATTCATTGAATGTTCTACTGCATTATCTAAATAAGATGATAATAGGAGGTTTTTTGCTCTTTCTGTAAACTATAAATAAGAGCTCTTGTACTTTTAAATACATTGATTTGCATTCACAAGACATTGCTGTTTAAGTTCTTTGGTTTGTCAGTGCTTATGGAAAATTACAGTAAGTTAAGTGACAAAATTGATTGCTTACCAATGTGCCCTTAAGGGGGCCGACTGGGGTTTTCATTGCGCAATACTTCGCGCAGCATCGTAAAATAAGCGTATACACTCTTTTAAAGCAACTATTTTTTACATAATTTATGAAAATTAACAAATTTAGGAAATCTCAGGTTAAAAAATCTAATTACGTTTTTAAATAACTGATTTTTTAACGATTTTTCAAATGACGGGTAGGTAGACGTCGTAATAGTGTGTTTTTGACGTTATGATTAACCGAAGTTCTTTAAGCGGGGTCATTAATTATGCCAAAAAATAAAAAGTATAAAATATATGCTCTTGAAATTTTAAACATATGAAATTGAGAATCTAACAATCATTTTTATTATTTTTCATGTAAATTTGTGTTATCTGTCATGTTTTGTTATACTCCATAAAAACAGGAAAATATCAGGAATTTTGACATTTTGAGATGCCCCCTCTGGAAACCAGACGGTAGAATTTTGTGTTTCTTGCACAAAATGTACAATATAGTGTTACCGATCAAATAATTTAATTTGAGCAAAAAGTCTATAGTAGCATTTGTATAATTTGCTCCGAAGTGCGAAAAAATGGTATTTTCCTATATAATCCTATAGTAAATGTACCTGTATTTTGAGATGGTCCCTAAAAAATAATCAGACGGTAGATTTTCACTAAACTTGGCATGTATACTGAAGTCAATTAAAGGTACATATGGTATAAAATTAAAGAGTTTCTCTATAGTAGTTTTCACACAATAAAACCCCAGTCGGCTCCCTTAAAAAGAAGAAACTGATACATGTACATCCCAAACAAAAAATACAGTGTACTATATCATTAAAGGCTTAACTGTAGCAAAACAAAGTATTTTTAACATGAATTTTAAATTGTTACTCTTTATTTTCTCAAAGTCCACAGTAATGTTTGATATCTTAAAGAAAATTTTGCTAAATGGTTTTCTTTCTACAATTTACTTCACTGATATTTAACATGTATAAGGGCAGTAAATTAAAAAAAAAAAGGTTTTAAAGAAAAAGTTTCACAGTAAACCAAAGCATTTGCTGTAGTAAACTAAAGTTAACTATAGTAAATTTTTGTTAGTGATATGGTACCAATTCAATAAAATCTTATTCAAAATTTGAATCTTGTCATCGATAGCAAATAAATCTGTACCGTGTCCATTTCATCATTTGTATATTGTTACACAATAAATAATTGAATACAAACACTATTCTCTATAAAATCCAGTCCTTCGTTCTTTTAAGTCTTCATATGATAACGTAATTATTTTTGCCTTTCAGAAATGTACGTTTATAATAAGAAAAGAAGCCAATAATTGCAGCATGGAAGAACAACATAGGTATTAAATGAACTATTATGGGATTTGGTCTGAAGTTGACAGTGATATTACTTCTGTTGCAGAAAGGTCAGTAAGCCATTCATAATATTTCATAAGTTTGTTCCTTTAAACGTCATTTAAAACCTTTCAAGGTATCATATGTTGGCTTTTAAGAGATTCATTTTCTAAACTGACGAGTTAAGCGTAACTTAGAACCTTGTTCTTGAAATACTGTCATTTGCTATATTAAAAGTGCATTTGACCTTAAACTTAATGACAGTGTCAACTAGATTATTAGATATTCTTAAAGCAGGTAATTGTATTTTTAACTATAATTTATCATTCTTCATTCATATTTAAACGTGCTGTATACTGCATTTGTTTGTTTATATTATAGAAATCAATTAATAGAATAAAGAAACATAGTTCTAGAATTATTTTTTTCTTATCTTTACTTGCGTGCTATTGCTCAATTTTAGATAAAGCTTATCAACAGTTTGACATGTTGCAATGCATTTTTAATCATTTTCTTCATAAAAGTTTTTGCTTTTTAAAAGGACTATGTCAAGTATGTAATACAACAATTGTTGCGCCATCAAACAAAGTTACATCACTTACAACACCAGGTTATAACGGGGGAACTGGCAGTTATACAAGGTATCGTTTGACTTAATTGAATTTCTGCAACTATTACTTATTATCAGAAATATGCAAGAAAGGGTAACCTCTACATCTCCACTATAAACAATATAAGTTGCGACGTATGAATTATATCCTAAAGACAAAATTAAACATAGTTTGTCTGACTTTTTTGTTAAAAATATTCTGATTCTACACACAAGTAGTCTGAGGTTAACATATATAGATGCTTGACTATCTCATTGACAATATCTATGTTTTTCGAAGACCAGGTCTTCCAGCAATATAATGGAATTCCCATGGATCCCAATTGTGCCAGCAGACCTGTTTTTGTAGTCATATGAAGCAGAATTTGTTCATAAACTTTTATATGAAAAGAATTTTCTTGATGTGCCCTTCAATTCGACATTCACCGTTCACGGTAGTTCAGTCAGTAGAGCGCTCGCTCTGTGATAGGGAGGTCGTGAGTTCGAATCACGGCCGCGACTGACCTATGTCGATAAAAATGTGTAGCAACTGTTCCTTCGCCATGCGCTCGGCACTTTGAAGTGAAAGTTGCGGGTCCTTCGGATGAGACCTTAAAAACCGAGGCCCCGTGTCCCGGCAGGCGTTGGCCCGATAAAGATCCCTCACTGCTCAATGGCCTGAGTGCCGAGTAAAGGTCAAAATTTGAAGCCCTTCACCGGTGTATGGTGACGTCTCTATATGAGTGAAAAATTCTCGAATGGGAATTAAAACAACATACAATCAATCAATCAATCAATCAATTCGACATTTAGGTACATCGAGGATGTTTCATCAATTAACCATATTCGGTATCATTTCTACATTGCTTCTATATATCCCATTAACCTCAAAATAAAAGACATCAAGGAGTCTTATGAATCTGTTCCATATTTGGATAATCTACTAGAGAAAGACTTTGATGGTAAATTAACAACCAGACTTTATACTAAAAGTGATGACTTCAACTTTTCTATCGTCAACTTCCCTTATAACATCACCTGCAATTGGACTTGATACGCAAGAGCACGTTCTACTTACTACGTCTAAACCAAACAGGTTTTGACAAATAAGTTGATGATACAAGAATATCAACAATCTCTTTTAAAGTCTCATTTTGCTGATTCTTTGATCAATACAATGACCTTGTTTGCAAATACAATCTGTCGTTAAGTCGAATTGTGACTGACGTTTTTCATACAAATTGTTAGGTCATTATTTTCACACTGAATGGACTACTTTTTTTCAGTTTACCCGATCATGATAAGGAGCAAACGGCGGTTGTGTAAAGTTTTGTTGTTCAGACAAATCAGAAAAAAAAAAACCCAGAGAAGCAGGGCTTTTCAAACCCTGTCTCCTTAAAATTGCAGTTTTAATTAGATTCCAAGTCTTAAAAGCAAATTCAGAAATGCAAATAAAAAGCAGATTAGATCCTTTGTTTTAATTTTGTGTTATGCAATTAAGAGATTTTCTTAATTTACTTACAAGTATGTGCTTTACTTGTAGTAATTTAGAATGCTATTGGATTTTGGATGCTGGTTCTGACGACATGAGAATTTTGATGTTTGTTACATATGATATATCTTGTCCCAATGACAAGTTCTACATACATGATGGTAAGTTATCAAAATTTATACTGCAAATATCAAAGAATAGCAATGAATATCAATGTGTTCTTTTTTATTTCATTAAAATTATTTTTTCTGAATGTTTCTTTTCACTAAAGGTTCAAATGCATCTTCAACGAAAATAGCAGATGGACAATGTGGGAAGGCAATTGCCACTCACTATTCTACGTCACAAAGATACGCCTACATTAGAATGACGTCAGATGCAACATTAGAACTAGCTGGTCTCCTTGTTGAATACGTAGCAGCTAAAGATTATTGTAAGGCTCAATCGTGCTCTCCTCTTATAGAATAAGGGGTTTCTGCGTAGAAGTCGCTAAATAAAATATCATTATTCACATTTCTATTAAAAAAAAAACATATACTACATTTTGGAGACGATTATGATTGTATGATGTTATCCCCTTGGCAAACAAACTAAGATGAAATGAACATGCCGTCCAAAACTTTTATCATTTTTTTCTGAAATACAAATTATGATTTTATTTTTAAAAAATATCACAACTGAGTTTCTTGATTTGGCATGCACCAGTTTATAAATTGATTATTGCATATATAGTCTATAGCCATCATATTGTTTTTTTTCTCTTAACTTTTCGCATTTTAGAGATTTAAATATCATTTGAGTTAATAAATTTTCTACAATAAAATTTCGAAGATTAACTTTATAATAATAATTAACAGGTTACATCCTTGATTATTCTCTTCATTGTAGCCGGTACTGGTTGTGGGGGCACAAAGCAGACGCTAACAGCTACTGAAGCATTCCAGTATCTGTCCTCACCCAGTTTTCCCAGCCAATATCCCAGGTATTCGCATTGTGTTATAGGTTAATTGAACTCAACGCACCAAGAACACATTGACATAAATTGCCACCGACATTTAATGCCAATTCACAAATTCAAGGTCTCTGATATCGACATTGTTCGAATTTTCAATTGCTTATTAAGAATAAGAGATGCTTTTTTATATAAAAAAGCAAGGTTTTTAATAAATGGGGTGACATTTCAAATTGAATTATTCATGCTTCTATTACTGTATCCTTACACTATTTATTATTTTATACAAAGAATGCAAAATTTATTCATAAAGTAATGCAACAAAGTATTTATTTTTTAAAATAATAACTTTTAACACAAAGGATATTATAACAAATGTTTTTATCTTTCTAGCGACAGTAACTGCCGATGGACAATTAATAACGCCTTCGGTACCGTTGATATAGAAGTTATAATGTCTGATGTCGAGGCTGATAATCCTGCAGCCTGTGACTATGATCATTACGAAATATATGACGGTAAGTGACGTAATATTATTTAAACTTTGATACTTAACTAAATATACGCTGCAAAATCAGGGCTCCTTTTCACAAAGGATCTGAATACTAAGACAAAAAATTTCCCATTCTCCAACAAGTATATGTAAAGTAGTAGATCACAAAAACTCTCTTTATTTATTACCTTAGAAAACATTGTAAATAATATTGTAGAGAAAAAAATAATGAAACATTTTTACTTCTCTAAAACGTACAGAGTCTTGAGATTTTGTCTTAGTCATAAGATTTCTTTTTGTATACTTTTTTTTCACTTTGCCTTAAAAAAAGTGCAATATTTGACAGAATAATAAATGAAATATCCAGAGTTTAAGCAAAATGTACAAAGTTAAACAAAATAAATCAATAAGCAAGATAAAATCTGATTGTTAAAAAGAATGGCTCCTTTTTTCATTGTAGGTGAATATATGTGTGAACATAACACTATCAGAAAAGTTTGTCAGGAGTTTCAAGATGTCCCTGCATATAATTACTCGTCAAATGGAACTTCTGTCGTTGTCAAATTCTTCAGTGATTCATCAGTCAATCGGCGAGGTTTTCTTTTTAGATACAGGTTAGTGTTTTTTAGTAAGTGTACGTGACAATGGATGTGTTTGCATAATGAAGCACAACGATTATTTGAATGTACTTTGTTTTTTTTTGCATAGAAAAAAATATGAACGTGTGCAAGGGATATTAATGATTAAATCATAATACTATTTTTACTTATGATTCAATGAACTAAACTTGTTCGCTTTTACATGAGTGTGAAGAAAAGATTAAAACCTTTGTTTTCCCAAGAACTACATGTATATCCCGTTTATCATATAAAAAATCTTTGTCAAATATTAAAGTTTATTCAAAAGGATAAGTTGAAAATAATATAAATATATAATATTAATTTCAACATTAAAACAGTCATAAAATCGTATTAATAAGGTCTATTTTACATTATGCAAGATATAATTATTTTACTTAGAGCCATAAACACTCCTACAACGACTACTGTAGCTACTACTACAAGTATCGACACAACAACAAAAGAGACAGCAAGTGATTCAACAACTACTGAAAGAACTACAACAACAACAGTATCTTCAGCACCTTGTACAACTAAAACAACAACATATATAACAACAACAAAGGCAGAAGGTTGGTTATAGAAAGTCTTGCAATGATTAGATTTTACTTTATGTGTGTGAATATTATACCTATGAATTAAAAGATTAAGGAATTAAGACTTTTCTCAGAGAACACAAGTATAAGAAAGAGCATTATTCTTCTCTCTCTCTCTCTCTCTCTCTCTCTCTTAGATATTTAATATTTTGTTTCTTGAAACAATTTTATTTCTCCATTTTTTGAGACGTGCTATACAAAAAATATACAAATATGTTTCTAATTTGAAGGTCTAGAGATAAATTTTGAGCTTCTCCTTGGATTCATCGGGGGATCACTATTTCTAATATGTCTGACAATCGTGATAGTTGTATGTGTTGTGACTAAAGCAAAGCCACCCTCTGGCAAAACCATCACTCCGGTGCAACCATTCAGACCTTATGAAACAGTTGACAAGAACTCAATTCGAATACGAAAACCTTCGAAAATCCCAAAACAGATATCATCTCAGAGTGGTGTAACTCAAAAGTTACCACCGTGGTAGAAAATATAATTTTCTAGTACTACACATATTGTTTCATGTTATCTTTTTAAAAAGTATTTGATATACTTCTGTTGACTTTGGTCGTCTCCAATATAACTAAGTAAGATTTACTGAACATTATATCTATTTGGCTGGAGCTTGATTTTGTGTTCTGTTTTTGTAGTTTTCCTTATAATATGCTTTCAAAAAGCATACATATTTCATTTTTAAAATTGCTTTATATCAAAACTCCAGTTTTACATATATAATATGGTATGGTAGTCGGGTATTGCTAACGTATCCGGTATTTATGACATTCCTAATAAATAGCAGAAGTGTTATTACTATATAGAAATGAAACATTACAGTATGAATATGTGCCATATACCTTAAAGTAAAGGAAAATGACTCAAATACTTATAAGACAATGTGTTTTAGCGTAATCAAATACATTTTATATGGAATATTTTAGGGTCTCTCATTTCTCTCATTTTGTTTCATCAATTAAACATTTTTTTAAATTTATATTTTATTTCACATCAAAATAAAGACAACGTAATTATTTTTTTTTTCAAAACGCTCGAATTTTATCATGACCTTAATGTAATTTAATATAATATTTCTTTATCAAGTTTACTCCAGGTCATTTACAAAAAGCATTGGACCTTTATACCCACTCCAGAGACGATGCCGATCAGATTATGAGTGTGCACATGATGAAACTCTGCCATTCAGTTAACTGAAGTCTACTGAAAGGTGACTGACTGGCAGAGATCTGGCATTCAGTGACCTTTCCAGGCCTTTAAGTCACCATTCAGTTGACTAAATGGTGTAGATTCATCCTGTAGTGTGTTTTATATCAACCGAAAGAATATATGTTTTTTTTTAATTGAGACCACATTGTGTTCAAGCAATACTCAATACTTGACTGTTATGTTGGTCTTCTCCTACATCACAAACATTTTGATGAATGTGTTACATATGTTATGACTGTACTATTTGACACTATTTTTGTTAAATAAATTTTTCAGACATTGTTTTATTGAGTTTTCATTTAAATGACTTGAATATGGAGGACACCAATAGAGTTTATAAATGATTCAAGTCATGCCTGTTTAAACATTGAAGTCTAGTGTGTTTTGCAGGAGCTTTATATATACATCTCTGACACATTTTTGTATCCATAGAGTCGTTAAATTCTTACTTAAGTTGTAATGATCACTTTTAAAAATTGGAAATTGAGTTTATGGGAATAATTGTCAATGATTAAGTGTAAAAGATCTAAACTTTTGACAACTAAGAAATTAAAAAAAAAATCATTTCAGAGTCTACAACTTGAACCTTTTTGCTCTCCCTGACTTCAAATCCGAAAATTCACGATACTGAATCACGTGAACTTTCAATGATTGATTGAATGAATGCTGTTTAACGTCCTATTCGAAAATTCTTCAGTTTTATAGGGACTTCGTCGTAGGACTTCAAATTTAGACCTATACTCGGATCTCAAAGCTTTTGAGCAGTGAGGGCTTTAATTGTACCAACGTCTATCGTGACACGGAACCTCGGTTTTTAAGGTCTTATATTATAAGGTTTTGAAACTGCACTTACAGTAACGGGCGCTTGTGCTGTTATGTGTGTGTGTATTTTTAAGGGGAAGGGGGGATGGGTATTTTTAAGTTAAATGGTAATGTGGCCAATGAGTATGTTGTTTAAAATTCAGAGGAAAGTTTTTTTTAAAACCACAAGGTAATGATAATTTAAAAGCATCCTGATGTAATCAGTTTCCAATTCTGTGTCTGATTGATTGGCGTTGCTTTACGTTCCGTTCGAGAATTTTTTCACTCATATAGAGACGTCACTATATACCGGTGAAGGGCTTCAATGGATCAGGGCCATTGAGCTTTAAAAGTTCTTTATCTTGCCAATGCCCATCGTGAAACGGGGCCTCTGTTTTGTAAGGCTTTTAAGGAACAGTTACTACCTATTTCTTATCGACTTAGGTCAGTCGCGACCGTGATTCGAACACACGACCTTCCGATCACGGAGCGAGCGCTCTATCAACTGAGCTTCCGTGACGGTCTCCAATTCTTTGAAAGTGACACTGATCAAATCATAAATAAGAATAGAACAAAGACGGACTCAGAGAGATAGCAATATGTCGCCTGACTGTGCAAGATTACTTAAAGTAAAAATACTGAAATACTTAAGATGATTCGATCTGAATCTGATCGATTTTTAAAACATGCCCCCCCCCCCCCCAATAACAGTGAATTATGAAATTTGAATTTCAAAGATAAAGTACAATAAACTTATTTTGTTACCGCGTGTTATTCTTTCTTTGAGGATGTTTTGCTTGTAATGGAATTTATCCATTTGCTAAACAATATCCCGATGCTAACTAAGCTGTATAAATCAATGCTTTTGGAAGTCGTTATGTGCTAATGGAGGTAAAGATTTTGATTTCATCATTACAGTTAAAAATATGCTTTATGTATAATAGTTTTCTGATTACGATTCATCATACAACTATCTAAAATCATCAAATTTATTTTTTACTTCTCTGTCTTCATATTTTGTCCGAAAGAAAAAAAATGGTTATTTTCTGATGCTAGTAGTTTTATACTGATTTTAAGCACGTAAGTAAAATTATTGAGAAAATGCTGCTTATTTCAGCAAATGTTACATGTAGTTAAGAATATGTGGAACGAGGCATTTTTGGATGTTAATACTAGAAAACGAAAGATAACTCTTATTTTTATGTTCAAAGTCATAAAAAAGGTGAAGATAACGAACATTGATCCATCTTAAAAAAACCTACAAACAAAACAGATTTTTTGAACAGGGTATTTTATCTCAATGCATATTTAAAATTTTGTCCCCTTGTTGTGTAGCTAGGACTATTACTTTTCATTACGTCTTCTCTTCTATCTTCAAGTCACTCTGCTCCACTTTTTACGCCTCCTGAGCCATTCAACAAAAGTAAAATTTGTGGATGCGACTGATGAGAAGAGAAAAGACATTGGTCTCTACTTAATACATACGCATCTAATGTTGCAATTCGGTATAAAATCACTTATTTTCGTCGGGTCAAATTTTCGTGGTTTAAGGTCAGACGACACGTTCCTCAATAACATATAATTTTTCTAAAGATTTTGTCTTTCAAGTATTGCTACTTTAACAAGTCTCCTCACAAAGTATTGAGGTACCTTACCAGGCATTCGTGCAAGATACCAGAGGACGGTGTTTCCTAAACCTATTGGAAATTTCTTTTATTGTCAATATTACAAGTTTGATGAATTTATTTCAAAAAGACATGTTGAAAACAGTTTAGAAATGAAAGGGCAATGACAATTATGACTATTCCTATACTATATTATTCAAAAAAATTCAAAACAGATATTCGAGGAACGTGTCATCTGACCTTAAAGAAAAGATGTAGGTTCGTGGGAATTTGAATTCGTGGTAGACGAAGTGTAGATTGTCTTGATATGAAATTTTACATTTCGTGGTGGACATGAATTCTCTTCAAACCACGAAAACAACGAAAATTAAACTCCCACAAAAATTAGTGATTTCACTGTATTCACAACGACACAACAACTCTATAATAACTTAAAAAAAGAGTTTATAAAGAAATGTTTGTACAATCATGAAAGCTTTTTTTCTCAATGTAAGGGGCGATCATTTGATTCTTAAGGGGTGGGGTAGAAGGGACATATTTTTTTCGAGTCAGATTATTGATTTTTATGTCCATCAGGTAGATAATCAAAGCTTATCAGGGACAGATTATAGATTATAACAAAGAGCGTATTATTTTATTCATTCTTTCAATTTACTTTGTACAAACTACACAAGATAACTCACTTTCGTCATGATAAGGTGGACATTGCAAAGAGCCGCTACACTTTGCTCTGACGGCTGATATTATCCGACCATCAAACCACCCCTTTGTCCACCAAAGAGAGTTTCTGGGTTTTCGCCTATGCAGATAAATTGCGTTGCCGAGGCCTGATTCTCGTGGCCCGCTGCAAGATACCCGTGATATTGCCTAGTCCAACCAGGATAACAAGTGCTTCGTCCAGGAATCATCAGAGCACTCACTTCCGCTCTGCTGCGGCAGACGGCACACGGGGCGTCTTGGCCATGTTCTAGTCCTGCTTGTGAGTGGTCATACTCTCCACCATGCATGTAATGATATTGTGTTGAACTGACTGATACAAATGAAGGGTGAGGAGGAAGACAAACATATTCCGACGCTCCACCATGCGATTTGTAATCAGAACCACCAATAAATCCTGGACAGAAAATAAATCTTCTAAATAATATTGTGGGCAAAGATCCTTGTTAAAACTTCATGAAAAAAAAAACCTATAATATTCTAAAAAAGATTTTTAGTTTTCTTATAATCATATTCAATATAGCATTGTCGCCCGCGTCGCGCAGTGGTTAGAGTGTCTGCTCTAGAGTCGCAAAGTAAGGAGTTGATCCTTACGTCGCGGGTTTGAATCCCACTGTGGGACGTGGAGACCGGTCCTTCGGATGAGACCGTATAAACCGAGGTCCCGTGTCGCAGTAGGTCCTGGCACGAAAAAGATCCCTCACTGCTCAATGGCCGTAAGTGCCGAGTTTAGGACAAATTTGCAGCTCTCCACCAGCAAGTGGTGGCGTCTCCATATGAGTGAAAAATTCTCGAGAGGGACGTTAAAGAACAAACAAACAAACAAACAATATAGCATAAAGTACGAAATTATTGTAATCTCACCATTATTTGATTTTCTAAAAAAAAAGTTCTAAAAGCGTTATTTAAGCAGGTATTAAACAGTATCATTTTAAAACTTTTATAGGGATGTAATTTCGGGTTGGTCACATGATCAAATCTCATGTAGCCCTTAGGGCCAAAGTTCTAAGCCCTAAGACGTTCCAACCCGTATTTATATGATATATCCTACATTCATACTTATACATTCAAGAGATAGGAACCTGAATAAATTTGCTCTGTGTCATTGGAGGGACACGCCTTCTTGCCCCATCGGACAAACATAGCACCAGCTGTAAATTGAAATGCACTATGAGTAAGATTATATATACCATAAGTAAGATTATATCTAAAGACTAAAAGTAAGATTTTATATATATATATATATATATATATATATATATATATATATATATATATATATATATATATATATATATATATATATATATATATATATATATATATATATATAAAGCATATTTTACAACAACTCTTAAACTAACATAGCTGTCCAAAGTGAAGAAATATTAATTTATAAAGCACAAAGAAATTCACTTTTTATAAGGATACCCACTTCCGCCCCAATCCGGGGTTGGACTCTCGACCTACGGAATCTGTCTCTTAGCAGTGCAGGAACAGCGCGCTAGACCTCTCGGTCACCTAGGCAAACTTGGCAAACTTGTTTTTGATGCCGATGGAATTTTCGCGGCGCTGTCCTACACTACACGGTCATTGAGAATGGAAGTGAGATACAGTTATTTGGACATAAGTTTTATTAGAGGATCGTTACCGATACAAATTGTAATGAATTAATTTTATTTATAAAGCACATTTTACAACAATTCATAAACTAGCATAACTGTCCTAAGTGAAGAAATATTAATACAGAAAGCACAAAGAAATTCACTTTTTATAAGGATACCCACTTCCGCCCCAACCCTGTGTTGAACTGTCCCCTAGCAGTGCAGGAACAGCGCGCTAAACCGCTCAGTCATCTAGGCAAGTTTAAAAACTTGCTTTCGATGCCGATGGAATTCTCGCGGCCCCGGGTGTGGGCAGAATTGGGTATCCTAAGGCTTATAAAAGTGAATTTCCTTGTACTCTCTCTCTCTCTTTCTCTCTCTCTATATATATATTTATATATACAGTAAAATATTTTCCCTTGGTATAGGGATAAGATAAAATCCAAATTTAAATGTAAAACTCAAACTTTAATCGTTTTCGCCCCATGCGGGCTCATCAGTAGATTTGAAATTATAAACGTTACATTATGACGTCAT